CTAGCTGTGATCCTAAGAAGACTCGCCAACATTATTTGAAAAAGTGCAACTTTTTCAAGTCTTAAAAATCAAAATTAATCAGCATATTATGAGAGAGATATTATAAGGGACACAGCTGGTTATTGACTAAAAAGAGAAACAGAACATTAGGACATAAAAGCTTGCTAGAACCTTCGCTTCCCAAGAAATAATTAATTTTATTTTAAAAAAGGAGCCCCAAACTGATTAAATTTCTACTATCACACTGATTTTTTTCCCCTACACATCTGAAAAAAAATTATCATATGTTACTTACTATGGAAGAATTCCCTTTCCCTTTCCTGAGCGTAGCTCCTGGAGTACAACGTACCATCTCTTCATGGTCAAGGGAAATTTGACTAGTTCCACTTCCAGAGACATCATAAAGAAAGAGAAAGTGACAGGAACTCCTATCTGACTGCTATATAGAGAGGGAAGAAAATAGTAAGTCACGGATTTCTGGTTTTTAAGGGCAAAAGGGACAAATTTCATAAAGATAAAGGTTGAAGAAATACACAACACCTTTCACGTGTGTGCTCAGACCACTTTGTAAAGCTACACTCATTGATGGTAGCCTGGCAAGTAGCCAGGCAAGTCTAGTTTTACTTCTAGCAGGCATCTCAAAAATGGCACTAGAATGATTGGCTTGCACAAAGTCTCCTGAGCACATCAGAAAGAAAGAAGCCAGAATTTGAGGGATGTTAAAATGAGATAGATACAAAAAAACCCATGAGGACATATTTTATCACAAGCATCTTTCCCTTTTTCTCACCTTGTAGAGCATTTCGCTTTTGTATTAAGGCAATTAGCAATAGGTATCAAAATGTTCTTCAAAAACAACTTTGGGATTTTTGCAAAACATGTACTTTCTGGGCAAGGAGAACCAAGTAAAACAACCTGTGAAGTTAGAGAAAAAAAATCTAAACCTAACTTTAGTTAACCATTCTAATCACAGATGCTTCACACAAAGCATTTTCTCTTAACAGACAGGAAATTAAAAAAAAAAAAAAAGTGTAGGTGTAGCTATTAGATCTCTTTCCTGGATAAAAATAACCTGCAAATAAAGGGAGCAATGAAAGATACTAACTCTATTTTAATAATCTTAATAGACAGGTGTTAAAATTTACTTACTTTGTTCTTTAGAAGAAACTTATTCCTACAAATGAGAATTTCTCTCAGCCACTTGAGGATTTCTGTACTGCTGAGCATCTGATGACTAGTTAGTTTCTTGCAGATATAAAAAAGCATTTGTGAACTGCAGCAAAATGAAATTCAGCGTTAGCTTTATCATCCAGTAACAAAACTTTTGAAAATGCTATCACTATATTTTACATAGAAATAGGCAATTAGTATGAATATCCTATAAATATATATGACTGTCATCTTTTTAAATGTATAATAGATATAGTACAGGTGTGTACTTTAAATGACAACACCCCTCTGACCTTCCCACCACCCAACTGGCCTCTTAGTTCCCTAGAGGAAGTTAAGCAATTTGGGTACTTGTTAGAAGTCCAGACACCAGAGCTCTCGATTCAGCAGTCTTCCATTTATCCACAGAACAGATAAGCACAGACAGTGGCAGTACAACTTTACCTACACTGCTCTGACAACGAGTCTCAACTCTGTTCTGGAAGGAACACATCTAGGGATGTTCCTTCTTCATATCCATTCAGGCCTCACACTCTCTGTTAAAACTGCCAAAGGGTCCAAATTAGTGTAAATTTCAATGGGTTTCTCCCCCAGCCCGAACAGACCACAAATTCATTTCAACTATTAGAAATTAATGAGTTTCAGTTACTGCCATCTAGGCAGGACTCGGCCACAAGCTATTCCATAACAAGCCATACTTTGCAGGCAGGCAGGCCAATAGCTGTTGAGGCCAGGAAACCTTCCTCCTAGACATTAATTCCTTATCTTCTAAAAGAAGCACCTGTACCAGTTCAGATGAGATCACCAAACTTTTTCAAAATACTTTTGCTGACACTGTTCTTAATTCTAAGCTCACAGATTCCCACATTTTGTTTTCAGCTTTTTCTGTAATCCCAACATTTTGTAACTCTAATCGCCTCAATATCCTCCAAGAAATCAACTGCAGCTGCTGTGAAGTTATAGAAGGCAAGATGACAAAGGAGACCCAGGGCAAACAACTTCCTTCAGGTGAGGGTGTCAGAGTCAAAATTAACAAATCCACACACAGGAATTGCCTTGCACCACCCTCCCTCATCCCCAAAGGAGAAAAAAAATTAAACAGCCATGAGGAAAAACCCTTAACTTTTAAAACTAATAACTACTATCACATCTTAATGACAGACTGAAGAAAGTCACTGAGAAAGCCAACAGGAAGTTGTTATTTTTGGCCTTAAATTGTAAAAGAAAGATTTTTCTTTTCCATGAACACACACAAATAATTTTGACTGCAGACTCATGCTGACGGTACACAGCTTTTCCAAAAATATTCACAACTATTTCAAAAGAAGAGACAAAGGAGAACAGCCTTTTCTCTTACTACACAAAAGTTAGCTTACCTAATTTCCCAGAATGTTTCTATAGGAGCATCAGGATTCCACAAGTCGATGCTGTCTAGTTGGTGAAGAACTAGCAAGGCCTAAATTGACAATAAGTTAAGAGTATCACTTAAACACCAAAATTCACAGAGTACTTCCGAATTCTATGCAGAATTCAGGTGCAATCGTATATTTTTTAAAATTTAATATTTTTATATTGTTTTAGAGACATTTACATAGGGTTCTATATTCAAATATGTATATAAAACTGTACACAAAATAGGAGTTTATAGTTTTTTTAAAAAAATACATTTTGGCTTTAATAGTGAAAGAATCAATCGGAGGGAAAAAAAAAAAGGCAAACGATCTTACAGATATAAATTTATAATGGCAATAACAAAGTATCTGTAGTTCAAGCTCTCTGCCAAATCAGGACAGGCAAATAGCTTGATTTTGTAATCACCTACACTAGGAAAAACTGCACCGTAAGAAAGGTTTTGACCATACCTAGGAGCCTGCTGGTGAAATATGGTCCAAAAATTTAACTTTGGCTTTTGACTTAGCCAGATCAACTGGAGCTCAAAAATCAACTATTTTTACATTAGCTGAATATAGTTTCCAAAGAAATACCTATCTGATGAAAATTGAACTGGTCCAAGATTAACAAATAGAAAAATTATTGGCGAGAAATTATGAACCTAGCAATAACTATAATAAAATTAAACTCAAATTAAACTGCATAATTAACAGCAGCCCAAGTTTTTTCCATCTCTAAGTAGCTGTCGTTAACAACAAGGATGTCACCACGACGTGTACCCCTTACCTCCATGGCTTCCTGTGCTATATCTGGCATGCTGGATTGTGGAACGAGATGTACAAGGCCTGTAATTAATTCTGCAGTGCTACCTTGCGTCTCAGGTCCTTGCTTCCTTGGATTCTAAATAATAAAAAGGAAAGTTGAAAAATATAATTTTTTAAATAACAGATCATGCCATTTATCACTGAGGCAGCTGTGTCATCAATATTCCTGTAATTAAACAAGGTGGGTTTCTGGATCTTTAACAGAGCATCTAGTTTCTTCTTACACTATGATGACTCTTCCTTAAGCATCATATCCTTGACCAACTAAAATATTTTAAATTTAAACAATAAACAAACTAGAGAAAAATAAAATGTCTAGCACTGACTGATTAGATCTTAGCACTACGCAACACATCACTGCCTGTCGCACGCTCTCCAAACCTCCACAGCTCTCAGGTTTGGTAGACATTTAGTTCACATTTGCTGCTCTCCGTTGGAGTTGAAACACAGAAGGCTTGCAAAGCCCCAGAAGAATATTTATGAAGAACAGAACATTCAATTCCACGTCAAACCAGGAGAACATCACACTTGTTAAATGATGGTCCCCTTTCTACATAAGCCTGATGAATCTTCAGCATTTTTTAAAGTACCACGGCCTATCTTTCCTTTATTCAACGTTATGGAAGATACTATTGATCTGTCTTCCCCTCCCCCTCAACTTAAGTTTCTTCCTGTTCTATTCCCTTCCTTTTTTCTCCTTCATAATTATGAAGATTTATACCCATCTTTTTATTAGCTATTCTCGGTCTTTAGATTTTCTTTTGTTGCCATCTTCCTTATACAGTCTGGACCTACTACAACCGGGGGGAAAAAAAATAAAAAGGAGTAGGGAAGTATCCTACAGACCAGGGTTAAGTTTTTAATTTTTATTTGTTTCTAGTATCATTTGGGTACTTCTAAAAGTGAAGTTTAAGGTCCTTACTGTGAGTATGAAGGTTAATGAAACTTTAAAAACTTCTGCAGCATTTTCACAAATAAATTTTAGTATTTTAATAAATAATATGATATACTTACACATAGCAAAAGCTTTGGATCAGCATGGATCAATTTTACCAAGGATAACAGCAAGAATTTGTAGCTTCTGGTTTCCAAATCTGTAGGTTTTTCTTTAAATTTAAGGCTTGTCATTTTCTCTTTAAATGTGAGACTCTAACGGGAAGAAAAATCACAGAAATTGTTAACGAGGTACTCTACGTAGTGAGTTATAATTAAACATTTTAGGAACTGTATTGCTTACATAATCTATAACTCATCATCCATGAAAAACTTAACAGGAGGTATATTAAATTCACTCAAGTAAAATCACACAGCTTTCTACTTAAAAGCCTCCTTTTAAAAATGCATATAGCATCATTTTGTTATGTCCTTAAAGTTTGAGAAATGTTTTAGTCAGTGAGTTGCACGTGCAAGATCTTGCATAAAACAAACTGGGGGAAAATGAAAATAGATAAAAGCACTAGTAAGAACGTACAGTAAATAAACTGCTTTGCAGAAACTAAAGACCGCCAAAAAACAACGAGCTGTGATTGCTCCGTGCAAATCCATCTAGGGGATAAACACTGGTTTGAAGATTAAAAACACCACTGGCACAGGAGCAAGAGGGATACGCTGCACATATATATGTTTAGGCTGGAAATCAGAAAAACAATTCTAACTGTCAGAGCAGGGAGATTCTGGAAGGGCATCAGGGTAGAGAAGTGCAGGGCAGAAAGAAAAGAGAAGCACCAAAGAGCCTCTGCTCCCGAGCCGGGGCTCGGCTGGCGTGCGGAAGGGATCGCGC